TTTGAGATTCCAGCCTTTATATTTTCATTCTAATTTAATTCAAATTCATACAGACATCAAGTGCCTAGACCAAGGGTCTTCAAACTTGGCAAGTTTAAGACCTGTGGACTTCGACTCCCAGAATTCCTGAGCTAACATGACTGGAGGAGGAATTCTGGGAGTTGAAGTCCACAGGTCATAAAGGAGCCCCGGTGGCTCAGGAATTCTGGGAGTTGAAGTCCACAACTCTTAAAGCTGTCAAGTTTGAAGACCACTGACCTAGACCAAGATGGAGGGGACAAATCCTTCATGCCAATGATTGATAGTTGACACTTCTGTTTGCTGGTCGGGGTAGCTCCTGTAAGTGTGCCTAATCCCGATCAGTCCAAAGCCAGGTGCAGCCTGTGAAACTGGAAAAATGTGGAGAATTTCTCTTGTTTATCTCCAAATTCCACCCTGTGATTACAGATTGACTCACAGCCATTCATTTAGTGACCATTCAACGTTACAACGGCACTGCAAAAAGTGACTTACGACTGGTCGTCACGCTTATGACCGTCACTGCATCTCCATGGTTTGGGGAATGTCCTGGCATGTAGTTAGGATTGTTGCAGTGTATAAAAATCACAAGATTTTGCCATTTATGAACTTCCCAGCCAGCAAGTCAATGGGGGAAGCCAGATTTGCTTAACAATTACACGATCCGCCTAACCAGTGTAGAGTTGTGTTTAATTTAACAGATTAGCAGAGTTGGAAGGGATCTCGTAGGTCATCTAGTCCAACCCCACCCCACCCCACCCAAGCAGGAGACCCTACACTATTTCTGACCGATGGCAGTCCAGCCTCTTCTTAAAAGCCTCCAGTGATGAAGCTCCCACAACTTCCAAAGGCTTCTGTTCCATGGGTTGATTGTTCTTACTGTCAGAAAGTTTCTGCTTATTTCCAGATTGAATTTCTTCTCGATCAGTTTCCATCCATTATTCCTTCTCTGGCCTTAGAAAACAGCTTGATCCCCTCCTCCTCTCTGTGGCAGCCCCTCAAATATTGGAAGACTTCTATCCTGTCTCCCCTGGTCCTTTTCTTCCCTAGACTAGCCAGGCCCAGTTCTTATAACCATTCATTGTATGTTTTAGTCTCCAGTCCTCTCATCACCCTGGTTGCTCTTCTCTGCCCTCTTTCTAGAGTCTCAACCTCTTTTTTTATAGTGTGGAGACCAAAACTGGATGCAGTATTCTAGGCGTGATCTTACTAAGGCTTTATAGTGGTATTAGTACCTCCCTTGATCTTGATTGTATCCCTCTGTTAATGCAACTTAGGATTGCATTGGCTTTTTTTTTTCTATACAACTGTGGCAAAGAAGGTCATAACAAAAGCGTGTGTGACTTGCTGAACAACCACTTTTGTTTGATGACGGAAATGATGGTTTCCAAGTATGGTGGTATGTCAAGGACTACCACCATTGTTGTCAAGTTTGCAGTGACACTCAAGCACACAAACCTCTTGGCTCTCCCCAGCTCTGCATGGATGTTCAACGGGTAGAGCTACCCTCGTCCCCGTCTTCTTCTTTCATTTCCAAACCTCGTGTCCTGTTTTTGACTTAGCCCGGGGAAGCAACTGTGCTTCTTGGGCACCAGGGGGCAATCAAAGTGCATTTTATGCACAGCTGACTCTTCTCTCACTTATGCAAAAATAAAAAAACACGTCTCTAACAGGGCTCTAACACAGCTAGGGAAGGGGTTTGAGTGCAAACTCAAATTGCTCAAAGCCTGATTTCTACTTGCTGTTCTGTTGCTCCTGTTGCATCCAGTTTTGGTCACCACACTAGAAAAAAGATGTGGAGACTCTGGAAAGAGCGCAGAGAAGAGCAACCAGGATGATTAGGGGACTGGAAGTTAAAACATACAACGAATGATTGCAGGAACTGGGCATTGGCTAGTCTAGGGAAGAGAAGGACCAGTGGAGAAATGATAGCAGCCTTCCAATATTTGAAGGGGCTGCCACAGAGAGGAGGAGGGGATCAAGCTATTTTCCAAAGCCTCTGAAGGCCAGACAAGGAATAATGGATGGAAACTGAACAAGGAGAGATTCAACCTGGAAATAAGGAGGAATTTTCTGACCGTGAGAGCAATCAACCCATGGAACAGAAGTTGCCTTCAGAGGTTGTGGAAGCTTCATCCCTGGAGGCTTTCAAGAAGAGACTGGACTGCCATCTGTCAGAAATGGTGTAGAGTCTCCTGCTTGGGCGGGGGGTTGGACTAGATGACCTACAAAGTCCCTTCCAATTCTGTTAATCTGTCTGTATCTGGTCAAAGCCCCTGATTTCTACTTGCTGTTCTTCTGTTGCTCCTGTTCAGCTGCATCTGGGCTCTTTGAAGCTGTTGCTTGCTTGGCACATCAGGAAAACGGGCAAAGCAGAAATGCACCCCCCACCCCCCACCCCCGAAAAAAGAGACCAAAAGGATGAAGAATAGAGAGGGACATAGACACAATATTTCTCTCCCTCTCCAGCTGGGGACAGCTTGCATGGCAAGAACCAACTGCCAGCGTTTCCTAATCTCTTCTCCATCAAGCCTGTGGGTTCACATTTTCCATGACAATATAATACGTCCTAAAATACTCAATTTGCTGGAATCAAAATACACACACACACCACACACACACACACACCCTCTGGTATACCGAAAGGAAATCAACTGTATCCAAGCAGTCAAAGAACATGCAGCAAGGACTTTTTATTCTTGCAATTCAAATTCTTCTCCCAGATCAGAGTCAGCCCAAACCAAAGAAGGACTTCAGTCCTATCGATGGGCCTGTGTGCATTCAAGTTTTTTCACAAACAGAGATGCTCAGAGAATAATAATAGAGTTGGTAAGGGGCCTTGGAGGTCTTCTAGTCCAACCCCCTGCTCATGCAGGAGACTCTATACCAGTGATCGCCAACCTTTTGGACCTCAGGGACCACCAAACTCATAATTTTAGATCCCAGGGACCACTAACGGGTTCTGTGGGTGTGGCCTAATTTGTGGGTGTGGCTTGGTGGTCATGTGACTGGCAGGCATGGCTTGTATGTAAATATTATAAATATTTATACAAATATTGAATTTTTTATTTAAAAAAAGAGCAACTTTTACCCAAAAGCAGGCAAGGCAGATTGAGTTGCTCACAGAATCACAGATTCATTCAGAAATCTATCTGCCATTGGCTAGCTCAGTCTGTCACATAAAATTTGCTTGCAAGCAAACTCACAAAATTAACTCACAGCACACCATGCATGTAAATATTGATGTTTTTTTATAAAAAAAGAGCAACTTTTACCCAAAATCAGGCAAAGCAGGCAGATTGAGTTGCTCACAAAATCATTCAGTGATCTACCTATCTGCCATCGGCTAGCTCAGTCTTGCAAATTTGCTTGCCGTGGGTCTGCACTGAATTTGCTTGCAAGAAAACCTTCAGTCCTAAGGGAGGTTCGGCTGTACTTAAAAGCAGAGCTGAAGATCTAAAGACTAGCTAGAACACAAGAAATCCAACCATTTCCTGCTTTCTAGCTAATCTAAATCTCCCGGCACAGCAGAACAGCTGATGGTCGGAAAAAGGAAAAACGGCAATTTTAGCAGGCAAGTTTACTGGGTAAGGAGTGAGTGGGCGGGGAGGGTTCCCGCGGGCCATGTGGGCGGTGCAGCCTTGTGTTTCTGCACAGCCTGGATTAATTGCTTTGGGGGGGGTGCTCTGGGGGTGAGATTTCTCTGCGGCCCACCAAAATTTTCTCACGGCCCACCGGTTGGCGACCGCTGATCTAGTCCAACTTCCTGTGCTCGAGCAGGAGAGTCTATTCCAAATATTAGCCTCTGCCTAGGATCGAACACACAGCCTCCCGATTGTGAGGCCAGAGCTCCACCACTAGGCCACCGGAGCTACACACTGGAGGCTGTGCGTGGCCCTCCCGAGTTCCGTTTTCGCTGGGAGAGGCACCCCGGACCAGTCCTTCGCTGTTTCCAGGGGGGCCCCGCTGACCAGATCTAAGCACCCCATGAGCCACATCTGGCCTGCAGACCTTGAGTTCGACATCCCTGCCCTGTGCCATTTCAGATAGGTGGCTGTCCAGTCTCTTCTTAAAAGCCTCCAGCGACGGGAGCACCCACAACTTCTAGAGAGAAACCGTTGCACTGGTTAATTGTTCCCACTGTCAGGAAGTTTCTCCTTGTTTCTAGTTGAGGTTTTGGGCCCAACTGTAGTGATAACTCAAGGGGCTCCTTCTATTATCTTATCTTGCACAACAGGGACAATATCAACAATATATCAGTGATGTTCTTGCTCTCCACATGACTGCGTTGAAGGGCTATCCACTGAGTCAGCAGTAAACACTACCGGCATAGTATTTGTTGCCTTCAATCACTATCTAACTTGTGCATCACCTGCCTTTTGCTGCCTTTCTTCCTTCTTGCTTGCTTTCCAAAGTAATAGATAACATGGCATCGTTAATGGAAGGGAAGGGAAGGGAACAGGGCAGAGCAGAATATGGAAAGGACCTTGGAGGTCTTCTAGTGCAACCCCCTGCCTAGGCAGGAAACCCTACACCACTTCTGACAAAGGATTGCGCAATCTCTTCTTAAAAATTCCCAGTGTTGGAGCATTCACAACTTCTGGAGACAAGTCGTTCCATGATTAACGGTTCTAACTGTCAGGAATGGAATGGAATGGAATGGAATGGAATGGAATGGAATGGAATGGAATTAGAATAGAATAGAATGGAATGGAATTAGAATAGAATAGAATAGAATAGAATAGAATAGAATAGAATAGAATA